GTGGCCAAGCCGTGCGCGCCCCTTCACTCTGGCGGCGCAGTGAGGAAGAGGCCTGCTCGAGCTGCATTGGCGACGGCGGCCACAGCAGCCGCAGCCTTTGCAGCGCTGGCGGCGAGCGAGGCTGGCGAGCAGGACGCACCGCTGCTCCCAAGGAGGCGCAGTTCTAGAGCCCGCAGCCCTGCGGAGGGGGACCGAGGCTCCATCGGCTGCAGCGGGGAGCCCAGGGTCAAGAATCTCAAGACAGTCCAGGGGAAGGTCGATTACCTGCTGGCTGCAGCGTCTGGCTCCTGTGCGAGCGGGGCCGCGCGTGAGGCCGACCGAGCTGACGGGGCACCCGCCGTTGGCGATGCCGCTTGCCCTTCGGTTGCCGCTTCGCTTGGTTTTGAGGCCGCTCCCGCGCCATCTGTCGAGCCCGCGGTCAGCGCGCGGCACGGCAGCGGCCCGACTGGGCCCACTGGAGGCGCTGGTGGCAGCTCGGGGGCGGCCTCGCTTGCTTCTGTGGCCGACCCCGCGCCGTTCGACGCGCCAGAGGGCGGCATGCGGATCGGCAGTGGGCAGATTTGGGCCTCTGCTGTCCCGCCTGGACCCTCTGGGCCCCTCGCAGCCTCGGCCTCTGCGTCTGCAGGCACAGGGGTTCCAGGGGTTGACGGCGGCGAGCACGAGCTGTGCGCTGTAAATGGGTATCGAGTGTGCACGCGCTGCCACTGCTATGCCCGTGTGATAGGCGGCAAGCACAGGGGCTTGTCCGCCGAGTGCAAGCTGCCCGGGGCCGCTCGAGGCCTGCAGCACCGCTTCGAGAAGGTCGCGAATATCAGGCAAGGGCTACCGCCGAAGCTGGCGCGCCCGATGGCGAAGGCAGGCTGACGGGTCTGGCTCGGCAGCGGTGGGCTGGCCCTTTTGGCTAGCTCGCTCCTTTGCTGCTCGGCATCCCGAGGCTTTCGCCTGCCGCCTGGCAGCTGCCCCCTTGGCAGCTGCTTGAACCTGAGCTCGCGCCGCGCAAGCTTGGCCACACTAAAAAAAGGCCCCAGTGGCTGCTCTCGCATGCGGTCCGCCCCCCCCCCCCCCCTCCCCCGCGCAGGGCAGCGCTTCGTGGCCCCATAGGGAGCTCCACCGAAGGCCCCAGTGGCGCAGGTCGCATGCGGTTCCCCCACCCAGGGCAGCGTTTCGTGGCCCATACGGAGCTCCCTCGAAGGCTCCAGTGGCGCAGTTCGCGTGCGGTTCTCGTGCCCAGGGCAGCGTTTCGTGGCCCCACAGGGAGTTCCACCGAAGGCCCCAGTCGCGCAGTTCGCATGCGGTTCCCCCACCCAGGGCAACGTTTCGTGGCCTCAGGGGGAGCTCTACCGAAGGCCCCAGTGGCGCAGTTCGCATGCGGTTCTCGTGCCCAGGGCAGCGTTTCGTGGCCCCACAGGGAGTTCCACCGAAGGCCCCAGTCGCGCAGTTCGCAGGTCCCCCCACCCAGGGCAGCGTTTCGTGGCCCCATAGGGAGCTCCACCGAAGGCCCCAGTGGCTGCTCTCGCATGCGGTCCCCCCACCTTGGGCAGCGCTTTGTGGCCCCATAGGGAGCTCTACCGAAGGCCCGCCCCAGTGGCGCAGGTGGCATGCGGTTCCCCCGCCCAAGGCAGCGTTTCGTGGCCCCATAGGGAGCCCAACCGGAAGCGGCACCCACAACGCGTTACGAACAATTGCTTATGGTGGGGCCATTCGCCAGGATAATTTGAAAAAGGGATGGTGTGTGTGGGGGGGGGCCCGCATCGGGTTGGTTGCGAATGCTCGCACGAGACGTGCGAGTAGCGTTCCGCAATCGGCCCGCGCACGCTATGCAGATTTCTCTGAGGCCGTAGGTGGAGCTCCGTGGGGGGCGCGACGCGTGCGAGGGGTGTGCTGCGGTGGGCACGCGTTTGCCATAGATCCTTTGCCGCTGGGGCCGCAGGTGGGGCTCCCCCTTGTGAGCGCGAAGCGTGTAATAAATAGCTGTGCCGAAATGGGCAGCTGGCGCGGCGCCGGGTGCTTTTAGGCGCCTACTGGTTCGTCGGCATGGCGGCGGATGACATTGCGGGCGCAGGCGCGGGTGCCCGCGACAGACCCGCGCCGCGGCCTTGCAGGAGGAGGGGTGGGAGGAGAATAATGAAACGCGCGGTGCTGCGGGCTTACGGCGAGGAGCCAACAGGAGGATTGGGAACTCAGGGTGGCGCGCGACAGCAATTTATGACTGCATGCAGCATGGTGTTGCTTGTCGCCGGTGCTCGTGTCGCTGCTTGCGCGTGCGCGCGGGAGCACTTGCGAACCGTTTTGTGCGTGTTATCGCGCGCATTTTTTTGCGAGCTGGCGTTTGCAAGCGAGCGGGGCTGTACCTTGGTTTCTGGCAGCGGTCGTGCATAGCAAGACATCCTGCTGGGCGCCACTTGGTTTGTCAATTTCTTCCTGGGTGCGCGGCCGCTTCTCCAATGCGCTGCAACCGCCAAGAGCGTCACGCGCGCAACCTCGCGTTGCAAACCCGAGATTGCTGTGCTCGTGCAGTCTTGAGCCACTGCGCCCACTGCTGTTTATGCTTCGCGAATCCCCACCAGCCCCCCGGCGGTAGGTCCTGCTTTCTTCTGCGCGAGCGCCCGCAATTAGGTTTGCTCGTAGCCCGAGCCGACTCGACCCGCTGCGGGCGCCTTCGCCTGCGGCTGCGACGGAAAAATAATCCCCACCAGCCCATTCAGGAGCCCTGCCCATGAGAGCTGATGGGGAAAGGGACGAAGAGACACACAGAGTGAAACAAAGCGGGCGAATCCTGGGGCCATGTTGAGGCCTCACAAGCGCATCGGAAGCGAAAAGGCGAAATGCTAAAAATCATTGGTTTTCCTAGGTTTTTGAAGGACTTTTCGGGGAGGTCCTGAGGGGTCTCCCAAAGCACTTGGATTCGTCTTGAAACCTTCTTGGGGCATCTTGGAGGTATCTTGTTGGCTATCTTGAGCCATGCTGGGCTATCTTGAGCGATCTTGGAGGCAATTTTGGCCTCTCTGAGGCCCTCTTGGAGCCATCTTGGGCAATCTTGGACGCTCCAACCTCTCGCGAAACCCTCCGTCCAGGTCCAGGGAAGGGGGTAGGGGGAGGGGTAAACACCTCCCCGAAGGGGAAGAAGGGGTTGTGGATGAGGAAAAAAGACATCGTTAGACCACCAGTCGCGCAGAGGGCTGGTGGGATTCTCGAGGCAGCTGAGTTTTCTCCTGCCTGTTGCGCGACGCGCTGCAGACGCGCCGACTCGATCTTCTTCGAAGGCCGCTCAGCATTGTCATGCATGCGACCCACTCGCGCCAAGCATACCGACGCACTTTTTTGCGAAACTGCTGAGTTGTCTTGTTGCTGCGACGCACCCGCGGCAGACAGACGCGACTTTCGAGGCAGCAGGGCTTACCCTTGTCTGCCACGCCACGCGCAGAACAGACAACGACGCGATTTGTTCGAGGCCGCTGAGTTTTGTCTTGTCGCTCGCGCCAGATTGCCCAGCTGAGGTGTGCCATGCGTGGCCGCGCCGCGCGCGCAACAAGACGGAACGCGACTGGTTTCGATTCGGCTGGGTTGTTAGCTTCCGGAAGCGCACGGAGCATATGGCAGCCAAATTTCGAAGCAATTGGGACTCGACTGTCCGGACGCGACACGCACGTGCGGGACGATATCTATTGAACCCGGCCGAACTTTGTCTGATTTGCGTGGTCGCCACATGCGCCGCGCATCACGCCAGCGAACCTGTTCTTAGCGCACGTGTTGCCGCCAACGCGTGGCACGAAACGTGCGTGGTGAGGACCTTTGAAGTAAGGCGATGCGCAAACGCACGAGAGCAAAACAGTTGAGGAGGACGACGGGGATGGGGACAATGATGCGAGACTGACGGCAAGACCGTTTCAGTTTGACTCACTGGGCGTGCGCCTTCGCAACCGCGGGTTCGAGTCGCCGAGTTTCCACAAGCCCTGGGTCAGTGCGAACTGATCTATTGAAGTGGGGAGGATGAGGATAAGGATGAGGATTCGGATGATGATGATGATGCTGATGATGATGATGATGATGATTATGCTGCTGCTGATGATGATGCTGATCATGATGATATTGCCGATGATGATGCTGAAGATGATGATGCTGATGATGATGATGATCATGAGGATGATGATGCTGATGACGCTGATGATGCTTATGGTGATGGTGATGATGGTGATGATGCTGATGATGATTATGATGATGATGACGATGCTGATGATGACGATGATGACGCTGATGATGATGCTGATGATGATGCTGCTGCTAATGATGATGGTGATGCTGATTATGATAATGATGCTGATGATGATGATGCTGATGCTGATGATGATGCTGATTATGATTCTGATTCTGATGCTGCTTCTGATGATGATGCTGATTCTGATGATGATGATGATGATGATGCTGCTGCTGCTGATGATGACGATGATGATGATGATGATGATGATGATGATGATGCTGCTGCTGATGATGCTGATGCTGATGATGATGCTGATGATGATGCTGCTGCTGCTGATGATGATGATGATGATGATGATGATGATGGTGGTGGTGGTGATGATGATGATGATGATGCTGATGATGATGATGATGATGATGATGATGATGATGATGATGATGATGATGATGATGATGATGATGATGATGATGATGATGATGATGATCGGTAAGGCCAGAGTGGTCTGGGAGCAGTGCTCGGCTCAGCCACCTTGCATTCGGCGTGCACGATCACAAGGGCCCCGCGGGGCCCAAGCCAGGCCGAGGCGACGAAGGATGGACCCGAGACGCCAGATTGGGGCAGCCCCCCGCTATGATCCCTGGCGTCTGAGGCCACCAGGAGCATCGCGGTCAGGCCGCCTCCTTCTGCCCCAGCCCTCGCGGGCTCGGCGGACGCGAGAGCCCTCAGACCCCGACGGAGGACCGCCGACGACCGCCATGGGGCCGACGGCCGAGCTTTCCGAGCCGCGCCCAGCGGGCCCTACCTTAGCAGGCGCGGTCGACGCGAGCAGCGTGCGGCAGACGGCGCACTCACGGAGCCCCTTCTTGAGGCGGTGGCCGGCTGGGCAGCATGCCTCCGCCGCCGCGCCTCCCTCGACCCCGTCCAGGCGCCGAGCTGGCGTGCTGACGGGCGCCCTCGCCTCGGCCACGCCGCACGGTCCCGCGGCGCCGTCTTCGGTGGATGGCCCGTCGGGGGCCTGGGCGGTGCAGGCCCCGCGGGCCCGCTCCAGGATCTCGGGCCCTCCCTCCGAGGCCGAGCTCCAGCTCTGGGGCGGGCGGCTCCGCGGCGAGCCCGAGCTCCGTGATGAGCTCCACGGCGGGCTCCAACTCCAGGGTGGCCGCGAGCTCCACGACGCGCTCCACGCCGAGCTCCAGCTGCAGGACGACGGGCTCCAGCCCCACGACGGGCTCCAGCTCCATCTCCCTGGTGGGTTCCGCCACGACCATGTTGGCCATGAAGGGTGGCCTTGCGGTAGGCCCCACGCGCTCCGTGGCGGGGGCCGCGGCGAGCACCCGCTCCATGACGGCCAGCGCCACGACCACGGGCTCCAGCTCCGGGACGGCCTCCACGACGACGGGCTCCACGTCCAAGAACGCCACGAGTTCCAGCCCCGAGCCGACGAGGCCCACGTAGAGCTCCTGTCCCATGATGGCCAGCTCCACGACGGCCTCCAGCGCCGAGACGATGCGGTCCCCGATGTGCTCCAGCGCCCTGCTGAGCTCCGCGACGAGCTCGAGCTCCAGGATAGCGAGGTCCCCGAAAAGCCCCACCTTCGTGACGAGCCCCGAATAGAGCTCCAGCACCGTGACGGGCAGGTCCACGGCGACCAGCTCCCGCTCCAGGGCGGTAGGGTACGCGACGTGCCCCCACTCCGTGACGGGCAGCCCCGCGACGCCCTCCAGCACCAGGGCTGCGCGGTCCACGACGACCCCGAGCTCCATGACGGGCCCCGCGACGAGCTCCCACTCCGCGATGACGAGGGGCACGGCGGGCCCCTATCTCCGCGGCGAACGCCGCAACGGGCACCACGGCCGCGTCACGGCCACCATGAGCCTCGCGACGAGCTCCGCGGCCATGACGAGTGCCCCCACGACCAACGCTGCGGACGCATCCGTGCCTGGCCCCGCCTCGACCCCCCTTCGTCTCGGGGCGGCCCCCGCCGACCAGCCCAGCGGGCGCTACTGCGCCTGGCTCCGCTTCGCCCTCCTTCGGCTCGGAGGCGTCCGCCGCGCGGGTGGGCTCCGCGGCGGTGTCCACGGCCGCGGCGTGCCTCAGGTCCCGCTTGCTGCGGTCCTTGCCCCCCGTGGCCACGGCGAGATTCGCCATGAGGATCTCCACCAGCGTCGCGAGCTCCGCGCTCGTGAGGTCGTGCGGGATGTCCGCCGCCTCGCCCTGCCGCTCCGACCCGAGGCTGGCAGCCGCGCGCTGCGTGCCCAGCGCGGTGGCCTCGAAAGGCCCAGCTGCACTGCTAAGCGGCGTGCAAGCCGTGTGCACCACGATCCGCTTGGCCACGCACGGCACGTCGGCAGCCTCGTGCTTCGCGGTCTCGGGCTCGGCCGTCCCCGAGGTGGCTTTGCCTGGCATTCCTCGGAAGCGCGGCACCTTCGGGAGCCTTGGTTGCTCGGGGCGGGCCGTCTGCAGCGTCTCGGCCACCGCGCGCGCGCGCCCAGGGCGGCGGCCGATGGCCGCGCCTGCCGCTCAGCGTCCAGCGCGGCCGCGAGCGCGTCGCAGCAATGGGACAGGGCCGAGCAGCGGCTCTCCCACTTCGCCCCCGCGGCGTCGGCGGCGCGCACGGCCCGCGCTCGCGCCGCCGAGCGCTCAGCGCGGGTCCGCCGTCGCCGTGGGTCCCTTGGGCAGCCAGCGACGGCCGCCGCCCGTATCGCACTCCATCCCATACGGAGCGCTAGTCTCAGCGCAAGGGACGGCCAGCCTGCCGCAAAACTCCCTCGAGCCAAAACTACGATGATGATGCTGCTGCTGCTGATGAGGACGCTGATTATGATGATGCTGCTGATGATGATGGTGCTGATGATGATGGTGCTGATGATGATGGTGGTGATGATGAGGATGATGGTGATGATGCTGCTGATGCTGCTGCTGATGATGATGGTGATGATGATGATGATGATGCTGATGATGATGATGCTGCTGATGATGATGATGATGCTGATGCTGATGATGATGATGATGATGATGCTGATGATGATGATAATGATGATGCTGATGACGACGATGATGATGATGATGATGCTGATGCTGATGCTGATGATGGTGTTGTTGATACTGCTGATGATGACGACGACGATGATGATGCTGATGGTGATGATGATGATGATGATGGTGGTGGTGGTGGTGATGATGATGATGATGCTGGTGGTGGTGGTGATGATGATGATGCTGATGATGATGATGATGAGGAGGAGGAGGAGGAGGATGAAGAGGATGAGGACTAGGGAGGAGGAGGACTCGGGAGGAGAAGGACTATGGAGGAGGAGGGGGAGGAGGAGGAGGAGGAGGAGGAGGAGGAGGAGGAGGAGGAGGAGGAAGAGGAAGAGGAAGAGGAGGAAGAAAAACAATACGAATACTAATAATAATTCGAAGAAGCAGACACAGAAGCATAGGCAAACGCAGAAGCAGAAACATAAGCATAATAGTAATACTACCAAGAGTAATAGTAATACTACGAAGAAGAATAATACGACGAAGCATGCGCATAGCAATAATAATACGAATGCAGATAACAGCACTAAGAAGAATATTTACATGAAGAATGAGAAGAGTATTAAGAATACTATTAATAATAACAATACTAGGAAGACTAGGGCTAATAATAATAACACGACGAATATTTATAAGCAGGGTAATGATACGCATAATAAGAGGACTACTAATACTAATAATAAGCATAAGACGAATACAACTAACACGAATAATAATAATAATCGTACACTACTAAGGAGACGAATAAGACTAATAAGAATACGAGTGCTCATACTAGTATTAATAATTGTAATGATATTCAGTATCCTTAACATAAGACGAATAAGACGACGACTAATAATACGAGTGCACATAATACGAACACAATAATATTATTAAGCGTAGTAATAATCAGACTAAGAAGAAGAATACGCCGAATACGACGAATACTAAGACGAAGGAGAAGAATACGAATCATAACACTACCAAGAATAATAATAACACGAAGAATAGGCATACTAATACTTAAAAGAGAGAAGACGAATAATACTAATAATGTCAAGAATAATGCTAAGACTAATAAGACACCGACAACTAATAACACGAAGAATAGTAAGGATCGTACTGGTACGAATACTATTGACAATACTAATAATAAGAAGGAGGCGACTACTCATACGAAGAAGACTAAGACTACGAATAGTAACGATAGTAAGGGAAGAAATATTACGACCAATAATAATATTGATATTAGTAATAACAGTACAACTAAAACTACTACTATTAGTCATAATAATAATACTAGTATTTATGAAACTAGCACTACTATTACTAATATTACTAATAATAATAATAATTATAACCATACTGGGAATCATACTACTACTACTACTACTACTACTACTACTACTACTACTACTACTACTACTAATAATACTATTGATAATAATATTAATCATACTACTACTACTGCTAATAATACTAGTACTACGACTACTAATAATACGGACAATAATAATGCTGCTGCTGCTGCTACTACTACTACTACTACTACCACTACTACTACTACTACTACTACTACTACCACTACTACTACTACTACTACTACTACTACTACTACTACTACTACTACTCCTACTACTACTACTACTACTACTACTACTACTACTACTACTACTACTACTACTACTACTACTACTACTACTACTACTACTAATACTTATACCACTACTAGTAATATTATTATGATTAATAATCGTACTGGTACTACTATTAATAATAATACTAATAATAATATTAATAATATGAAGAATAATACGAATAACAAGAGTAATGATAATAACATGACGAATCATACTAATAAGAATGCGAATGGTAATACAATAGTAGGAATCATACACATAATAATAAGAGGAGGGAAGGGATGCTGAGGAGGAGGAGGAGGAGGAGGAGGAGGAGGAGGAGGAGGAGGAGGAGGTAGGGGAGGAGGAGGAGGAGGAGAGGAGGGGGGAAGGTGGAGGAGGAGGCGGAGGAGGAGGCGGAGGCGGAGGCGGAGGCGGAGGCGAGGCGGAGGCGGAGGCGGAGGCGGAGGCGGAGGCGGAGGCGGAGGCGGAGGCGGAGGCGGAGGCGGAGGCGGAGGGCGGAGGCGGAGGCGGAGGCGGAGCGGAGGCGGAGGCGGAGGAGGCGGAGGCGGAGGCGGAGGCGGAGGCGGTGGCGGAGGCGGAGGCGGAGGCGGAGGCGGAGGCGGAGGCGGAGGAGGAGGCGGAGGCGGAGGCGGAGGCGGAGGCGGAGGCGGAGGCGGAGGCGGAGGCGGAGGCGGAGGCGGAGGCGGAGGCGGAGGAGGAGGAGGAGGAGGCGGAGGAGGCGGAAGAGGCGGAGGAGGCGGAGGAGGCGGAGGAGGCGGAGGAGGACGCGGACGCGGATGAGGACGACGAGGGAGAGGAAGAGGAGGACCAGAGTAAACCAACGATGTGTATGTAACTGCTTTGCACTGCACGTTCCCGTTTCGAGTCCCACACGCGCCCACGAGTCCCTGTCAATAGGAGAACTACCACCCTGGAAATACCAGCACCGTTGGGTCTGCCATTTTGGTGAGTGCCTTGCTGTGGGATGGTACGGATTTGCACCTTTCGGGCGCGGGGCCAGGAACGCGGCAAAGGAACACAGTTCAAAGAGGTGTCCAGCGAGTGTCCCGATTCGAAGAATGACCGCTCTCCCTCGCGTGTAACTGTTGCGCGCGTTTGTGCATGTGCTCAGGGGCTGCGCGGAGTTCTGGGCGACAGCCACATTGGAACAGAAAAGTGGGTCAGTGAAGCCACCGGCGACAGTGCACTCCTAGAAGAGCAGAGTTTCACTCTGCTACGCCTTGCGTTCAAGAGCTAGTGCGCGCGGCGCTGGAGCGAGGGCCCCATTTTGAAGCCCCGTTCGCGGACAGGGGGCAGGAGTTTTTGTATGTGGCGCGAGGCCGTGTCGATACCAGTGAGACGTTGGCGGCGAAGTGGGGACCCAACGCGAGCAGCCGCAGTGCGGAAGTCCGTGCGAGCGAAGATTAGGGACTTCCAGCGCGGGGTTTGTCGCAAGGTTGCAGCCCAGTGCGATCAGCTGCAGAACGTGGGACTGGTGTGACTGAAAGTACGACGAGGGATGGCAGGCAGCGTCAACGGACTGTCGCTGCGGGGTTAGTGCGGGCGAGAAGGGGGCGCGCGGTGGCAGCCGACCGTGCTGCTGCTTAGCTTGGCGATGGTTGTGAAGTTAGCAGGGTCCCCTTGCGATCAGCTGCCGTGCGGGGTCCCGCGAGTGCAAACAGGGCGAGGTTTGTCAGCGGACCCAGCCGCTACTCATCCAGAGGCTTCTTGTAAAATCGAAGCCCCAAGCGACCGGCTTCAGTGCTTGGGCCCACACATGAAAGCAGGGAGGGAGGTGGCATTGTGTCGTGCGGCTCAGCAACATGTGCCCTTGTATGCTCCCTGTCGTGGTTCCCAGGTCTCTCTTCCTCCCTCTCCATTTTTGTGTCCTGCTTCGCCTTCTCCTGCCTATAGCTCTTTGTCTTGGGGGTGCCGTCCTTGAGAGTTCACTAGGAGTGCGTACTGGATGAACTGCCTTCCTCTGCCCACTTGTGGTGGTGAGCGGAGCGCGCAGTCGCGCAGAAGAGGGAAATGAGGAGTGGAGGTGTGCTCTGGTTGTTGTGCCCAGGGGCAGTCTGGAGACGAGAGAGAGAGAGAGAGAGACTCAACCCCTTGTGCTTCTGGCCTGCCAGCCGATCGTGACAGCGAGGAGTGGACACGCGCGCTCGTTCGCCCGTGTGAGTTCCGCCAAGACGACTGACCCAGCAGACGTCGGGGAGTGGTGGGTCTGGGATTCCTGAAGACAGAGTTCGAGCTGGGATAGAGGACGGATGGCGACGCATGGGGAGGCCACCACGACCGTAGGAACCAGCACCACCGCGCCGACGACCAGCAGCGCCACGACCACGCCCAATACAGGAGGCGCTGCTGCTCCCAACAGCGGCGCCGCGCACAGCAGCCCAAGCGCAACGAACAGCACCACAACGACCACGACCAGAACGGCTACGACACGCAGCAACGCAAACAGCAGCAACAGCAGCAGCAACGCCACCACGACCGGGACCAGCAGAGCCACGACGACGGCCAGCAGCAACACCGGCACGACGGCGACCCGCAGCGCCACTCCCAGCAGCGCCACCACGACCGCAGAGAGCGGCACCACGGCGACGGCGACCAGCAGGGCCACGACTACGCCCAGCAGCAGCAGCAGCAGCAGCAGCAGCAGCAGCAGCAGCAGCAGCAGCAGCAGCAGCAGCAGCAGCAGCAGCAGCAGCAGCAGCAGCAGCAGCAGCAGCAGCCGCTCTGGTGTTTTGTCCGTCGGCCTGGGTCAGGGGCCTCGGCTCGCAGG